TTGATAAAGGTAGACAAACTTATGAGTAATCTTGTATTAGATTTTCAAATCTAAAATTTAAAAAGAAAAATTTTTACGAATTCTTAACTCAAAATAATTTGCTAATTTTCGTGATTTTTCCATATTTTGTCAATTTTTGAACTTTAAATGCTTATAAAAAAAAACTGTGACTAAGGATTTTTAATATTTTTCATCTGCCTTTGAAACAATATACTTGGAACCTTCTATTAAATTTTCAAGTTTTTTTAACCAACAAATTTTATTGATATTTCTAGAAAAAAAAACTAAAAAAAAATGAAAAATAGAAATGTCCCTAAACAGTTCAAAATAAATCAAAATATTTTGAAAATGTTATCGTGTATAGAAAATGCAAATATAAACAACAAGTGAAAATTGCATTTATCTACGGTCATTTGTTTTAAAGTTACACCAAAAACCAAATTCAATTTTCTGAAAAATCGATTTTGCGTAAAAATTCCCGTTTTTCCTTAATTTTTCTTTTGTTTTTCTTGCTTTTGAAAAGTACTGGGAATTTTAAATTTTGACCTCCCCAATGCACCAACGATATTCACTTTCCAATCGAACAAGATACCGAAGTCGAAAATCGAAGCATTATTTCGACTACTTATCGTGTACACAGACACAAAAATAAAAAATTAAAAAATATAAAAACACACATTGTAAAATCAATACATATTCATCGTTCCACTCAGAATCTAAAAATCCCACCGTACTGGTCGAATACTTTTGGGATTCTAAAATGTCTGAACCGTTACAAACGTGAGTCCTTTTTTTTTAATAATTTGTACTCTCTGAGTAATTAGATAATCTTTCACACGAATACACGAGCCACGATTACTAGTGAATCATGATTTATCTATTTTACATATAATATATTTATATTATATTTTATCTATTTTATCAACATATTATATTTTATACTTTAAGGTTTTATATGAAGTCTTTATTACCAGAAATTATTGATCCACAATTCCCTAAAAGAATGCTGAAATCAGATATTCGAGAACCAGATCACATAAAAAAAAATGATTATAAAAAAAAATTAACAAAATATTTGAATATAATTTAGACAAGTTGAATGATTTTTTATTTTTTACTTTCTTAGATTGCAACTCAGTAAGTGTAAATCAAATTCAAGTAGTTTATTTATGGCTGATTAAAATGTAAGAAGAAATGTTATACAGGGTGACGTATAAGAATCGATTTTCAATATTTCATTCTCAAAATCGATAAAATCGTTTTCAGTTATTTTCACTTTTTTACTTATGAATAATTGGTATAAAAAAATTAAAATATCAAAAATCGAGTCTTATACGTCACCCGATATAACTCCTCTACAACTTTTAATTGAGGTATTTTGCTCTAAAACCATTTACTTAGCCGTATTATTGGAACAAAATTGGAATGTTTTTGTACGGTATTTTCGCTGGTTTAGCGTCAATGTTATATTATTGTCATTGAATAATAAAAATAATAATATTTATTATAATCAACGATATTATGGTAATACATACGAAAATATTAGTAAGATAAAAATTAAATACATAATTGGTATGTCTATATTGATATTTTTACAAACTAAATGTAAATCGTAAGTTATTGTACGTAAAATATTGTTAACTCGAATACTTAAAATGTTTGTACAACAATTTGTACGGTAAAAACTAGATTTTCTAGCCAACATAATATTGTTATATACAAATAGGTATACAATTGGGCTGACAGCGGCTTTAATTAAAAGATGGTTAGTGTAGGTATAAGAGCGAATATGGCGGCAATGCATTTACGTGTATGAATTTTATTTCGACGGGATATGTCACAGACGAACGTTCATAAGATAATAAACAACGTTCCCGAACTCGACAACGCGTCGGTCGGTACGCGGCTGTGAGTAGTGGGCGCGGCTTAAACGTCGCGTGCTTGCGGATCACGAAAACACCTAACAGCGCATTCTCTTGGTCATTGCATGGTTTCGTTTGCCCGTGTGGCGTCCTCTTAATTCACTAGTTGTACCTGTTGATTTTAATTTTTTAGTTTCGCAATATTTAATAAGAAATAGTTTTTTGAGAGTATAGATTTCTGTTGCAGTATTTATTGTTATAGAAAGATCCGATTTAGGGTCTTTAAGTTGATTCATTAATTTATAAAATTTGAGAAATTAATTAAAAAAATCCTAAATCTATACTAGGACATTTTAACGGTTTTTAATTATGTTTATCTACAATTAACTAAAATTATATACCTACTTTATACTATTGTTAAAATCCCTACAAATTTAAATTATTAAGAAGTTTGACAAAAAAAAAAAAAATACTACTAGATTAATTATAATACTATGTTATTGAATAAAAAAAAATCCTATTTAAATTTAAGAAACTAATCTACAATCCTAATATTAATACGTAAGTATATTACTTAAATTAAAATATTTTTGAGGTTATAATTATATCGTATAAAAATTTTGAAAAGAAAAACTAGTAATAGAGAGAAAAAAATTGAACTAAAAAAAATCCTATTTAAATAGTTTCTTTATAAAAAACCTAATCTACTTGTTTAAAACTTAAATTAAAATTTTGCGGTTATTTATAATTGAAAAAAGGTGGGCAAGTGGGTGTCGCTCTGCTGTACAGTAGGTTACAAGTGGGTCACTGTATAATGGATGGTATTAAATTTGAATTCAATGATATAATATCATTGTATAAGAAAAACGATTCTGAGCGGTGATGGTATGTCAGTCTATGTATAAGGCATATTATATACATATCTATGGTATTAAACAAAAAATTGACCTATAATAGGTACCTATAATAAATTCCAAACTAATCATATCACAATATCCATTAGATACTTATAACGCGTTATACATCAACAAAAACCGTGATACTATCATAGATATATAATAGTACACTTTAGAAGTTTCAAGTACCCACGAATAATATTATTCAATCACAACAAAATAACTAAAATCGTAATTCCAACGATTGATAATTTTCGAGATTTTGATAAATTTTGTCAAAATTCCAACTTTAAATGCTTATAAAAAAAAATCGTGCCTATGTATTTTTAATATTTTTCAACTGATATTGTAACAATATATCAGGAGCCTTGTATTACATTTTTACACTTTTTGGCACAACAGATAAAACTTTATTGATATTTATAGAAAAAAAAACTAAAAAAAATTGAAAGCTGTAACTGTCCATAAACAGCTCAAAAAGAGTCAAAATATTTTCAAAATTGTATGGTGTATAGGAAATGCTAATATAAACATTCAGTGAAATTTTCATGTATCTACAGTTATTCGTTTTTGAATTACAACAAAATAAGGAAATCGCTACATGAGAAATCGAGTGAAAATCCAATGTTGTAAAAATTTGAATTTCAAACGTTCATAAAAATTTAATTTGACTGTCCGGTAGAGATTTTTTTATTGATAAAGGTAGATAATCTTATAAGGAATCTTGTGTTTCATTTTCAAATCTTAGATTTAAAAAGAAAAATTTTTACGAATTCTTAACTCAAAATAATTTGCTAATTTTCGTGATTTTTCCATATTTTGTCAATTTTTGAACTTTAAATGCTTATAAAAAAAAATTGTGACTAAGGATTTTTAATATTTTTCATCTGCCTTTGAAACAACATATTAGGAGCCTTCTATTAAATTTTCAAGCTTTCGCAACCAATAAATAAAATTTTATTGATATTTTTAGAAAAAAAACTAAAAAAAAATGGAAAATGAAAATGTCCCTAAACAGTTCAAAATAAATCAAAATATTTTGAAAATGTTATCGTGTATAGAAAATGCAAATATAAACAACCAGTGAAAATTTCATGTATATACGTTCATTTGTTTTAGAGTTACACCAATAACCAAAATCGATTTTTTGGAAAACCAATTTTGCGTAAAAATTCCCGTTTTTCCTTAATTTTTATGTTGTTTTTCCCGGCGCTTGTGAAAACTACTGGGAAATTTATACTTTTGACCCCCCAAAGTACCAACTAGATTCACTTTCCTATCAGAAAAGCTACTGATGAAGAAATCCAAGCACTTTTACTGTCCTAAAACGTGATGACAGACAAAAATATAAATAAAAATATAAAAATATAAATAAAAATATAAAAACATACATCATTGTAAAACCAATACATTCATCGCTCCGCTCAGAATCTAAAATTTTGAAAAATTAATGAACTAAAATTCTATTTAAATTGTTTTAAGAAAAATCTAATCTATTATCCTAATATAAGTATATTACAAAACGTTGCTCACCTCGGCGTATACTTGTAGACGCACGGTTGCAAAAAATTGTACCACGCGGCACAAAACTGCTGTCTTGTCCGTCAGACAAAAATCGAACGCGTATGTGTTACTCACTCGGGTATATTTATACTTTACCGGACACCCTTTTTTTTGTATTTTTTTTTTTTTAGAATTAATGTAGTTTCGTATGCTTATAACGATAGTGAAGTCAGAATTCGGGGCTCGGACTTAGTTTTTAAGTTACAGGCTTATAAAGTTAAACAGTGTTCACAACTCCCTTAAATAAGTAGTTTGGTCGATATTTTATCTGTTTAGTTGTGTTGCGGTGGTCTCAAAGTCACATTGCGGTTGGGCACACCCGGGTTCAAAACCTTCATTTACTGTAAAAATTTTTGCAATTTTTTTTATTCTTTTTGAATTTTTATTGAGTGTTACATTATTATTTTGTTACCGTAACCAAGTTTCTAGCTGTCAGAATCAACGTGATTTTACTTATATTTATATTATTTATACGGTGGTTACAAAGTGACCAACTTGAGGTGGTCTTACACAGCAAGTCGAGGGATATTTTCGATTTGCGGAGCGGAGCGACGGCGCCGAGGAGCGTAGCGACGAGTGCCGCTAGCAAGGGATCACTGATAACTACACTCTACTTTACATATTATTATCATTAAGTGTTTTTATTTACATTTTTTAAATTTAACATAATGTATATTAGTTAACCGTCTTGTTCCTCGTCATCGTCGTTGTCGCCACTGTCATCGTCATTGTCACCACTGTCTTCATCATCTTCACCACTGTCTTCGTCACCGTCACCATTGTCGCCGTTGATAAAAGTGTGATGTTCAGTATTGTCCATGTGATAGAGTATGCCAGCGTGTTTGAAAAATTCTGTCGTCGGGTCCAAATTATGTGATCGACAATGTTTGGTAAACATAAATTTAGCTAAATACCCAGCATAAAAGGACTTTTTCCGGCAATAATTTGACATCGATTGCTTGGAATGTCTCCATGTACTCTCAATGGTGTTTGAGTGCACACCTGTCACTGGATCTTTAAAGTGAAGGCTATGGTTCACAGTCACGGAGGTACAGTCGAGGTCTGATCAACCAAGGCGACTCCGGAATCAACGAACAATTCAAGACGGGCCAGCAGACAATCAGGGAAAAATGAACACAGCAGTGGCAACAGCGTTGTTGTGAGTATATTAATTAAGTGAAGATAGATAATTAAATTAAAATTGTATAGCTTGAAGTGCACGTCTCACGTTGATTCATATAAATCAGCGTTTATTTTATACTTGGTGGTGGTGTAAAATATTAGGGAAAAATATTCGAATAAAAATAAATATAAAAAAAAAAAAAAATAGGAAACAAGCTTGGGAAGAACTATATACGTATTTTATAGACAGCTGTAGACTGATCTAGGATTTTTATGGTAAATAGACGGGAAGGACCGATCTGAGATTTTTTTTGTGATAGGCAGCAGGGACTGACCTAAGAATTTTATGGTATTTTTGTGATAGGCAGCAGGGACTGACCTAAGTATTTTATGATATTTTGTGATAGACAGCGGAGACTGATCTAATAAATTAAAAGTAGACGGCGATAGGCTGATCTAGGAAATTGATGCACGGCCGTAGCATTTTTAAATTATATATGGAAATAATTGATTAAAGTGAAATATTGAATTTTTGAATTGAAATATAGAATGATAGATAATTGTTGAAAGAAATTAAATGATATATATTGAAGAAAATAGATTTTGAATTAAAAGGCAGCAGATGACCTTATTAAAGTAATTGACGTCAAATTTTGAAAAGTTTTGGGGAAAAAGAATTAATTATAGGGGCCCTAGGATAAGAATTAGTATAACATTACTACGAATAAGTTGATAGAATAATTGTTAATGAAAAAAAAAATTAATTTTTAGTGTTTAGAAAATTAAATGGTAAATCGCGTGTAATGAAACGCTATTGGTTGGTTTTCATTTATTTATTTTGAACCAATATGCTCATCATCTTATTTTGATACAAAATATATGTTTTTATAACATTATTTTCTTTTATATCAGTTTTAATTATACTCCAAAGAGTTTACAATAAAAATAGTTTATTATGGGTTTACATATAAGGGGTGGGAATGTGACAATTAAACTCACGGTTTTGTTGAATCAACGGTGGGTATAGGCTCGGCTCTGGCGGCGGCGTATACACACAAAGGTCTCAGGGTGCGAGTAGAGGTCCAGTGGTTCCGTTCAGGTAACCTACTGACGTGCCCGACTTATGGTTGTTGATAGAAGTTGACGGCAAGTGACTCGGCTCGAATGGCGGGCTTGGCGGCAAACAATGACTTATATTGACGTCCGGCTGATGAATGATGCTAGTTCGGTTACAACGACGGGCTCTGCTCTGGTGGCGGCGGCGTGTAACGTGTCTACAGGTTGTCCGCGGAGTCGTGTTAATACACACTCTGATGGCGCGATGGTAAACGGGAGGTGCCGGTCAAGACTATATGCACATCCGTGTGTAACGAGTATAAACTCGTCCGGCTTGCGCAGTCTGGGGCAAAGTGCTGTGGAGCGTACAGTATATAGTGTCCGTGTATAACGAGTGGTATGCTCGTCCGGCTCACTAATATACTGTACTCAGCGGGGAGTTTGGTGATTTGATAGTGTTTTCTGGGTCGTATATATGTTACTTGGGTCCTCTTCGTGGTGGTTACAACAGGCAAAGCACTTTTATTGATTCAGTGTCTTTCCCCATAACATAAAACCGATGTAAAATCCGTACAGTATTCTTTGGGTGCTACTGAATTTTATGGTGCTTAAAAAAGGGTTTTATGTTACGGGGTTTTGTTTGAAAAGGAGCTTTCTTTTGCGGGCGGCGTACCGGTGATATCGGAGTTGCGGTATGCACGCGTTCTGACGGACGTCGGGAACGGCTGTTTTGGTGTTCCGCGTGTAATTACTGCGCGAGAGCGCGTCGCGGTAGTAATATATACTTGAGAACGACTGGTAACGAGATTGCGCTACGGTCATAGAGCGTTCGAGTTTGTCTCGTTACACGCGTAAATTAAAAAATTAAAGCATTTAGAGAAAAATAAGTAAAAAGAAAAATAAGGGTATAGGAAGTCGAATATTATTAAAGGGATTTACGGCGTAATTAACCGGACATTTTTTATATAATATTCGAGCGTAGTACGAGCACGTACGTAAAAAACATCGCGGAACACGGCGAGGGAAACGGGTGAGGAACACCGTATCGAAATTTAACACGCGTAGCATAGGCGGTCGAACGTTTTACGTGTTATTAGATAGGTACTCATCCATTTCAACGTACGACGCGCGTTTTACGTAATTTCTTTTTATTATTTTTGCATGATAGTTATATTATAAGTAATAATTTTTACGTATTATTAGTTTTGGTGACGGTAGTTACGTATTATTAGTTTATAAATTAATAATATTATATATATGTAGAGTAAACACTGTTGGTAATTATTTACCCGGATAGGAAATTAATAATTTAGTAGATATAATTTATTGAAAATTATATATATGTAATGTCTAGATAAATATATGTCAGAATCCGATAGTTCAGATATTGACACTAGTTCTACGGACAGTTCAAGAAAAGTTAAAAAATATAAAACTAGGAAAGAAATAAAAGCGGAAATTTTAAAAGACGCTGTAAAGAAAGAATTTTTAGAACAAACTAGGAAACGAGTAATTAAAGCTGAAAAAATTGTTGAGGAAAAATTAGTAAGAACACATAGTTTAACAGAACAAATAGGTACCACGCCACGAAAACAAACCGTAGGACGTTTAGGTACTAGGTCAGATTCAAGCGTAGTTCACGTACAGTTAGAATCAGTAGTTAAGAAAAAAATGAGTAAAATGGATTTAGACAAAGCAATTGCTATGATACCTATTTGCACGGGCAAAAAGGACGTAGCCGAATTTATAAATATTTGTGAAATCGCCGTTAAAGAGACAACGGAAGCAGAAATACCGATATTATTGAAAATAATTACTTCTAAGTTAACGGGAAATGCGTTAGAAGTAACAAAATATCGAAATTTAGAAACATGGGGAGCAATAAAAACAATATTAGAGGGGGCATTCGAACAAAAAGTATCGGAGAGGGCCCTATCAATAGCTTTAAACACGGCACGTATGGCCGAGGGAGAAAGTGTGGCAAAATTCGCTAGTAGAATCGAAGAATTATATTATAAACTCTGCGCGGCAAGTACGATAGGTTTATTACAGACCGAGGCGGACATATTAAAAAAACAAACAAAGAAACAGGCAATGATCATATGTATGACAGGGTTACCTCATCACCTATATACAGTACTGAAAAGTCGAAATCCCAGTACATTGGAACAATGTTTCAAAATGGCAATCGATGAGATGCTCGAATATGAATCAAAAGTAGAAATGGATAAATTACAAAAACAAATTAGTAATGGAAAACAGGCAGACGTCAATAACGATGAAAAACGAAAAAATGGTGGTAATTGCTAATAACGCAGTTAATCGCGGAGGACACGGTAATGCAAATCAAAGCAATAGAAATAATAATTTCAACGGGTATAACAACCGATATCTTAATCACAACAACCGCAATAACTATGGGAATAACAATCAGAGCGGATATGGCTCACACATGGTTAATCGCGGCGGTTATCGGGGCGGAAACGGCAATGGACGAAGTTTCAATGCCAATAATGTACAACAGAATAATAATAACCGAGGCACAGGATGCTACACTTGTGGCAGATCTAATCACATAGCACGGGATTGCTGGAGCAATCGACCTAATGCGCTAATACGTATAATAATAATCGTGTAAACGGCACGCGTAATGCGAACAACAACAATAATGTTCGTAGGGATAATAACAATATTCAGGGTGTACTTTGCAGTTACTGCAATAAGATAGGTCATGAAATTTCAAATTGTTATACAAAACAGAAAAACGAAAGAAATACGTCGGGAAACGCCAACGGACCATCACCAGTGGGAGTCAGATTGGTCCAAGAAATAATTCAAGACCCACACACAGGATTTTCCACATCACAGAAAAAATAATAGACAATCACATTACTTTAAAATCACCTAGTTTTAATAAGGATCAAATTAAATTATTAGTCGATACTGGGGCGGATCTAAACATAATTAAAATTAATGCATTAAAAGGAAACACTGAAATTAACGAAAACGAAAAAATTTATTTGAAAGGCATCAATGAAAAAATAGTTTCTACAATAGGAAAAGCAGAAATAGAATTAATAATTAATAATGAATATTCGAAACACAATTTTATGTTGTAAATAATATTTTTCCGATTTTGGCGGACGGAATTATTGGTAATAAATTTCTAATAGATAATCACGCAGTAATAGACGTCGCTAATAACACGCTAACAATAAATAATAATAAAACAGGAAGCGATAGTGATATCTGTTTTACATTAAAACCGCGCTCAGAAACCATAGTACAAATCGATATACCCGATAAAGAAATGAATAATAAAAATATTTTAATAAATAAACAAGAATTAATACCGGACGTATATTGCGCGAACATTTACAATACAGTCAAAAACAATAAAATTACTATAAGCATATTAAATATATCTGAAATGACGCAGGAAATAAATGTAGGACAAGCGCGTAATATTTCATACGACACGGATGTTTTGACAGATAACGTGCAGTGTATAAACACGATTGACACTGAACGTTCGCGTCGGGTCAGGGCGTTGATACGTACTGATCATCTTCAAGTTCACGAATATAATTCGATAGTAAAAATATGTGAACATTACGCGGACATTTTCTATTTAGAAGGGGATAATCTTACGTGTACTACGGCAGCAGAACACGTAATAAAGGTTCCTAAAGATTTGAAACCGATTTATAAAAAACCATACCGTTTACCGTTTTCACAACAACCGGAGATAGAGAAACAAATAGGTCAAATGAT